GGTAGATTGAAGCCCCCTCCCCCTACGCCGCACTCCTCCCCCATAGGTCTCCAGGAACTGATTTGAGATAAGATGTCCTCTGCCTGGGAATAAGATGCTAGGCTACAGCCAGGCTCACCTGGGGATCGGGTGGTGGCTGAGAGCCTGCCCCAGAGACCAGGGGCAGGATGGAGGAGTGCCGAGCCCTCCACCAGGCTTTCCCCTTCAGAGAGACCACAGGGTTCCCAAAGGTGGGATGGAGTTTCTGGGCCGACTGTCACTTCCTGGGCCAGACCCCACCCCACATTCTCCAGCTGGCCTTGTTACAGGTTGCTGAGTAATGGCTGAGCAGAGATTAATTACAGGAAAGGTTTTTTTGTCTGTGTTGAGGGGTTGCCTGTTATTTGGCTGTCTCTTTTACTGGAGAAACAGGCATGTGATAGTGTTCTTAGTTAACTAAGTCTAGGTAGGACAGAGCATTATGCTCCTGGACCCTCCCTCTCCTCCTCACGTAGCCAAGCATGGCCTAAAATTCCTCCTGCCTCAACCTCTCAAGAGCCAGAATACAAGCATTCACCACCATGCCTGTTTTGTGTGATGCTGGGAATTAAACCCATGGCCTTGTACAAGCCAGGCAAACCCTCTACCTTCCAGACCGCAACCTCAGCGCCACATCAGGCCCTGACTCTGCTGAGGGAAACTTTCCAAAGACCAAAGATGTTGACAAAATGAAACTGGAAGCTGGGGATGGGCTCTCCGCATCGAACCTAGATCTTCTTTCTGTAGACCACCCCATGCCAGAAAGCAGTGGGTGGAGATGTGTGACTGTGAGAGTCCCCATAGAATACGCCGACACCCAGACCTCGAGCTCAAACATCTCTGGTATTCACAGGACACAGATGGCCTCCACATCCTCAATTCCCAGGCAAGAACAAACATTTAAGGGTGTCCTGTGTGCGTGTGCCAAGCCCTGGGCTGTGTGCTCTCCACTGGTAGTCTCCCTAACAACCTCACCGCAGCTAAAGAAGCTGACTCAGCAGATTTACCGTCACATGCCAAGCATGCTCAAGCCCATTGTTTAAGTCATCCAGCAGCGTAGCAATTATGCCCTTTCTGTTTGCACTGTGAGCTCACAGGTCCTGCCCTCATCCTCTCCAGCTGACCAGTGATTGACTAATCAGTTAAGTGGCTTCCTGCAGCCCCTCCACCCAGCCTCCCCAGCCACCTTTCCTTGAGCTGTTAGGATAGACACCTGCTGGTAACACACAGCTGGTAGAGACTGAGGTGTCTAGCCTACGTGTCGCCTAGCAGTGTGGCAGAGCGCTTTGCAAGCATGCATGAGGCTAGATTCCCTTGCACCATCAAAACAAACAATCCCTATGTTTCCTGTCTCCCTTGCCGCCTCAGGGTCCTATGGGGGCATTCTGATAGCCACTGGCTCTCAGCTACAGCCTCTCAAACATCCTGTTTCACGTATAAGTCAACTAAGCCAAGAGAGGTTGCCCACATTTTCAGTAATACTCCTCTGGGTAATGTCAGCGAAGAAGGCTCAGCAGAAAAAAGCACTTGCTGCCAAACCTTCCAACCTGAGTTCCATCCCCGGGGCCCACATGGTAGGAGGAAAGAGGCATCTCCTACAGGTTGTCCTCGGAGTCCACACATGTCCTGTGGCATGCTGACACTGCAGCTGCTACGCCTCCCCCCAAATAAATAAAATGTAATTTTAAAATTGAAAAAACAAAAACCAAAACCAGATAATTGGCTTGGCAGTTAAGAGCACTTGTTGCTCTTCCAGAAAATCTGGGCTTGGTTCCCAGCACCCACATGGTGGCTAAGGACCACCCTCTTCTGACCTCTAAGGGGACCAGGCATACACATGGTACACACACTCAGGCAAAACACTTATACACATAAATAAATCTAAAAATTTATAAATAAATAAACAAGAGAGATTGCAAGGGATTCAGACACTGGTAGTTTGTGGCCTGCAGTAGGGCCCTCCTAGACCAAGATCTCTGCTTGTTACCTAGCCAAGGATGACTTTGAACGTCTGTCTGATCAAGTGCTTTGTGAAAATAGCAGTGTGCAAAACCACACTGGCTTTGTTTTTGGTTTTCTGAGACAGGGTTTCTCTGTATTGTTTTGTAACTTGCCCTGGAACTCGCTCTGTACACCAGGCTGGCTTCGAACTCACAGAGATTTGCCTGCCTCAGCCTACCAAGTACTGGGATTAGAGGTGTGTGTCACTAATGCCCAGCTGTTTGAATTTTAATTTTTGAGACCAGGTCACACTGGTAGCTGTCCTGAAACTCATTATGTAGCCCAGGAGGGCTTGGAACTCACAGAGATCCTCCTGATTTTGTCTCTACCGCCTGAATGCCAGTATTAAAGGCGTGCAGGGCCCTGTCCAGCTATTTCTAACTCTAAAACAGGAAATGCATTTACATGATTTAAACTCTCTGGAAAGTCTCTCCCTCCCATTTGCCTCCTCCCTCAGTAAACACTTTTACTAGACTTTAATTTATGTTTTCAAAGTTTCTCTGTGTGCCAACAAAAGCAAATAAGGCCATACTTACCCGTCCCTCTCCCCTTTCATAAATATCAGGACACTGATGCACAGGGCTGCTTAAGGCTTCATCATTGCATCTCAAAGATGCCTGGGTAGAGTCAGCACCTAATTTCACTCCTTTCCCGGAGATGGTATTTTACTGTGTTGCCCCTGCTGGTCTTTACTCCTGGGCTCAAGTGATCCTCTCTGATTAGCCTCCTGAGTGACTGGGACTACAGGATGCATCACCGTCCCCAGAGAGTGACATTATGATCCCCATCCTGTTGACATGACATAATTTATTCAACCAGACATCTTCCAGTGGACATTTGGTTGTTTCTGATTAGTCCAGGCACCTTTCTTATTCTAATTTTTATATATATTTTCTGTTTATTTGGGGGAATTTTATACATGTATGCACTGTATTTTAAACATATCCAGCCCCCTTTTCTTCATTTTAATTTAGTATATGTATGTACGTGTGTGTGTGTGTGTGTGTATGTGTGCGTGTGTATGTGCTTTGTGTGTGTGTGTGTGCATTTGCACATGCATGCTTCGGTATGTGCACGTTGAGTTCAGAGGCTAACTTTAAATGTCTTAATCATCTTCCACTTTATTGTTTTAAATAGGACCTCACTGAACGTGGAGCTTGCTCTTTCAGCTAGACTGGCTGATTAAGTATGCAGTGAGTGTTATATGATTGGAGCTAGGAATGGTGACTCCACTAGGCCCCATGCTGGGTCTAAGAGCCCAGAAGCTACCCAGAGCAAGAGAGGCCTTGTGTCTCATAGGCCTCCAAGAATGAAGCCTCTGCCGTGTGCCTAAGTGTCTAGAGCACGTGAGTGGGCCATGGTGACGTCCAATACCTAATAGGGATCCTTGTGTCCTTTCCACTGGGACAGTAGAGGAAACCATGATTAAAGACAAGAGGTAAAGGGACAGGAGCCTTCACAATGACTCAGTAGTAAATTCAACCCCCTGAACCTCCACGGCGAAAGGAGATAAGTGGCTTCTACAGGCTGTCCCCTGAGCTCCACGGGCACACCGTGCCATGCTCGTGTGCATGCAGGCACACGAATAAATAACCGTGGCTAAAAATTGCAAGGGGGTCAGTAGTTTGCTTCTTGCTCTTCTAGGGGACCATATGGGTTCCCAGAACCCACATCTGGTAGTTCAGAGCTGCCTTTCTCTCCAGCGCCAGGGGATCGGATACTCTCTTCTGGCTTTTGTGGGCATTCACACACAGGTTGTACACACAGGCAAACAAACAAATAAAAATTCTAATGTGAAAGAAACGTAAAAAGGGATTGTGGGTTACATAGCTTTGCCCTCACTGGGCTCTTCCCTGTGGCTGTGACATCTGTGTCTTCCTGCACAGGCCAGCTCCATTCTCCATTTCTAGAAACCTTCCTGGACTGGACAGCTCTGCTGACCTCTGCTCTTGTGAACTGCTTCATGTGTTAGCGACAGCTACTGCAGCCCTGTGCTTAGTCACTGACAGTCGGCCACCTCCAGTCACATAAGCCTGTCTTCCTGCTGCGAGCTCAAGATCCTTGCGGGATAAAAAAAAAGTCAAAACAGGTCCTTACTCTCTCGGTGGCCATTTACCTACTGACTACGTGGCCACTGAGAGGTCTTCCATGAGTCCTGTGTCAGGATGGGACAGCTGTGGTACTGGAAGGGTCGGGGTCGGGGTCAGCCACAAGTGCGTCTCCAACCACAGGAATATTTGGAGGATACAAGTTTGTTTTTGTTTTTTGTTTTTGGGTTTTTTTTTTTTTTTTTTTTTTTTTTTTGAGACAGGGTTTCTCTGTGGTTTTGGAGGCTGCCCTGGAACTAGCTCTCGTAGACCAGGCTGGTCTCGAACTCAGAGATCTTCCTGTCTCTGCCTCCCAGAGTGCTGGGACTAAAGGAATGTGCCACCACCGCCCAGCTAAGGATATAAGTTTTTAAAATTGGTGGCACTCGCCTTTAATCCCAGCACCCAGGAAGCAGGGGCAGGAGGATCCCTGTGAGTTCGAGGCCAGCCTGGTCTACAAAGTGAGTTCCAGGACAGGCTCCAAAGCTATATAGAGAAACCCTGTCTAGGAAAAAAAAAAAAATATGTTTTTCTGTTGCTTCTTGTTTATTTGTTTGTTTTGAGACAAACAAACATGTAACCCAGGCTAATCTTGAATTTGCAAAGAATCCAACTCCTGATCCTCCTGCCTCCTCCTCTTAAATGATAGGATTATAGGCATGCTTTACCAGACTACATGTATGTAGTACAGGGGATCAAATGCAAAACCTTGTGCAACTGAGCTACCCTCAGATCCTATGGAGCATTTTGTAAAATGACCCTCACCCCAGGGCTGAGACTGTAGCTCAGTGGACAGCCTTTTTCTAGAACATCTGGCACATTTGAGGGTCTGGGTTCTACTCCCAACGCTACCAAAACCATCCAGTGTTTTCCACCCCTACCCATCTAGCTTACCTGGAAAACAACGTCCCAACAGTGGCGAGCCCTGAAGGCATGGCTCTGGTCTCCAGAAGCTGACGGGGACGTCTCAGAAACAGGCAGGAGACTGTTAAATTGGGAGAGTACAGTGGCAAGATGAGAAATGGCAGCATGTGGGTCTCGACTGCGCCAGGGGCTAAGAACTGAAAACTAAGTGACATTTGAGGGAGAAGGGTCATTTTATTATAGGGTGGATAGTGAATGATAATGTTTGCATGCGGCTGTGTGTGTGATGTGTATGTGTACATGTGCATTCAGGTGTTTGCACACTTCTGAGGGGGCACACAGAAGCCAGGCATTAATGTCACATTTCCTCCAGCCATCACTGTTGACCTTATCAGTTTTTTTAATTAAAATTATATTTATTAGCCAGATGCAATGGTGCACGCCTTTAATCCCAGCACTAGGAAGGCTAAGGCAGGTGGATCTCTAAGTTGGAGGCCAGCCTGCTCTACACCATGACTTACAGGACAGCCAGGGCTACACAGAGATCCTGGAGCCTGAACCCAGACCCTTGTGCTAATCTGTGTCCCTATCCTATTTCTTATTTATTTTAATATTTTGAGAGAGTCTTGCTAAGTTGCCCAAGTTAGACTTGAACCATCTATGTGATCCATACAGTTCTGAATTTGGCGCTCTCCTGCTTCAGCCTTACACGTAGCAGAGGTTACAAGGCTAACCCACCAGGCTGGCCCCAGATATGGCTTCTAAGGTTTTATTTACGCGGCTGGAGAGTTGGCTCTGAGCTTGAGTACTTGCTCTTGCAGAGGAGTCAACTTCAATTCCCACCACCCACAACCAATCCCAGCAGACCCAACGTCCTCTTCTGACCTCCGAGGACACCAGGCAAGCATGTATACATACAGCCAAAACATTCATATAATAACATTTTTAAGGATTTGATTTATGCCTGGCCTGATGACACACACCTTTAAATCCCAGCACTCTGGAGGCAGAGGCAAGTGGATCTCTGTGAACTCCAGGCCAGCCTGGATATCTACATAGCAAGTTCTAGGCCAGCCAGAGCTACACAGTAAGACCCTGCCACCAAAACATATTTAAAATTTTATATGTATGAGTATTTGCCAGCATGTATGTATGTATGTATGTATGTATGTATGTATGTGTGTGTGTGCGTATAACGTATATGTATGCATGCCCGTGCATGCAGTGCACACTTAGGCCAGAAGGGGGCATGAGATTCCCCTGTAAGGAATTACAGATCCTTATCCACTGCCATGTGGGTGCTGAGAAACGAACCTAGGTCCTCTGGAAGAGCAGCTCTGCCGAGCCTTCTCCAGACCCCAAATTTGGTTTTTAAAAATTGCATTTATAGTTGGGCATGCAGTATGCCTTTAATCCCAGTACTTGAGAGGCAAAGGCAGGCAGATCTTTATGAATGCAAAACCAGCTTAATCTATATAGAAAGTTTCTACATAGTAATGTCCTGTCTCAAAATAATACAGGGGAAAAGAATCTGGTGTCTACAAAATGCCGAAACTTCCAGTGCTATGTTCAGGCTATGTCATGGTCATTGCCCTGAGTGACTGACTGACAAGATCAGGCCAGTGAGGTTAGCCAGCATTCCAAAGGCAGAACTAACTACACCCAATAAATTAAAAAAGAAGGGCCTTGCCAGACGGTGGTGGTGCACACTTTTAGTCCCAGCACTCGGGAGGCAGAGGCAGGCGGATGGATATCTGAGTTTGAGGCCAACCTGGTCTCTAGAGTTAGTTCCAGGACAGGCTCCAAAGCTACAGAGAAACCCTGTTTGGGGGGTGGGGTTGGAGAAGGAGGCCTGATAGGGAGAGAAGATGGGCTGGGATTGCTGGGGGAGAGGGAGAGGGGAGCTTGCTAAAAATACATTGTTTATACGTATGTAATTGTGAAAGATTATTTCATTAAAACTTGGGAAGCAGAGGCAGGAATATTTCTGTGAGTTGGAGGCCAGGCTGCTCTACACATCAAATTTCAGGACACAGGGCTACATAATAGCCCTGCCCCCTACATATAATAAGATACTTATGTATTTATTCAGATCTCTTTCTCTTTGGAACCCTAACCATGAGGATAGTTTCTTCGTGTGATCTCAAGAGTGGTACAGACATCTCCTAATGATAGCTGGCCTGTAACTTCCTGTATAGATCAGGCTGGCCTGGAATTATGACTACCCTGCCCCAGTCTCACGGTGCTTTTGCTCGCTTACATCACCTTGTGGAGTCCGGCTCGCTACCTCTTTGCTATTTTACAGCTATCACTTGTCAAAGGGCTCCACGGGATGCTTTTAGCCCATGCTAGCTTGGCCAGGCAGGTCCCTTTTCTGGGACACACGAACCACTTCTAAACTGCCCACCCTGATCTGCTCAGGAACAGCCCACAGGAGTAAGGAACTCGCCCGGGGCCTTTCCTGGCCCGGGGAAAAGGGGGTGGACCGGGCGGGCCCGCGGGGAAGCCGGGGCAGGGGGCGGCTCTTCTCCCAGGCAGGGCGTGGGCCGGGCGAGGTCCTCAGCCCAGCGCACCGTGCCAACAATGGGCTGTTGTAGAAGGAGGCAGGAATGTGGCCCGAGGAGTTGGGCGGCGGGGCGGGGCCGGCTCCCAGCGGCAGCCTCTTACCTGTCCAGGTAGCTCGCATTTCCAGGCGAGTGGCGGCGGCGCCCGCACCACCTGTCGCGGGGTGCGCGGGCGGGCGGGGAGCGCGGCTGGGGGCCATGGCCTGGTAGTGTCCCCTGGGGAGACGCTGCGGAGTTCGGTCCCGGGCAGGACAGGGCGAGCGGGGGAAGGTCCTTCCCTCGGGGACGCAGAGGCCTGCAGCAGCATGAGAAAGAACCAGACGATGCAGGGCACCTTCAGCAAGCTCTTTGGGAAGAAGCATACCAACTCTGCCACCACGTCCCTCTACGCCACCAACCCACCCTGGATTTTCACCCAAGAGGCCCAGGAGGAGGGAACCAGGGACTTTGGTAAGTGCACCCCGGGGAGGGAAACAAGGGAGAACTCCCGATGGCGCCTCTTCCCGCCCGGCCCTGGCGTCACTTGGGCGCTGGGAAGGCAGGCAGGGGCAGGGACACGTTGGAACCTGCGGACCGGACCGACCAAGGAGATGCAGGGAAGCGGGAGGGGGCGCCGCAGCCCAGTCAGAGAGGTGCAGGGAGCCCCTAAAGCGAGGCCGGCGAGCCCTGACGCCCTCACCTGCCACCCCGGCCCCCTTCCCCCTTCGCAGCCTTTGGTGGGGTTTCTGTTTGTGTGGCTGTCTTTGCTGTGTCTCCCACCCCATTGCATATCCGCATTCTCTCTGAGTCAGGAGTGTGCCTGGGATCTAGGCATCTGCCCCTCGCCCTTTCCGCTTCCTCTGCCCCGCAGAGAGCCTGCCTCGGGTGCCCTGTATTTTCACTCTGTTTGGTAAGAAAAGTCAGCAACCGAGCCAACAGGTTGCCAGCCGTTTGCAACACCGAAGTTTGCTCTGTTCGTTTGGTGGGGGTGGGGGTCACAAACTCTTGCCAGGTCCACTTAGGTCTGGGTTGTCTATGGTGTCAGCTTAAAGAGTCAGAGGTGGGACTGTGGAGAGCTGGGAACCCTTGAGTCAAGGGTGGTGCGTCTTTGCAAACTTCTGTGAACAAGTTGGCCCTGCCCCAGGTTTGGCTATGGGTCACCTTATCTCTTCCTTGATCTATGAACTGTACCCAAGGAAATGGGGGACAGGTATTCACATCTTGGTTCTGATCCGTGATTCTGGGGTCTGCAGAGGTAGATGAAGGTGTGTCTGTCACCCATGACTCCCTGATTTACCTGCCTTGTTCATAACCTTTATGGTCATTGTGCTGGGCACAGAGGACATTGCAGCCTCCATCGGTGCTATGGGTTCTCTGTTGGACCAAGGTAACAATATGTCACTTCCCAGGGCAGAGCTCAGGAGGCAGAGGCAGGAAGATCTCTATGAATTCAAGGTCAGCTTTGTCTACAGAGTGAATTCCAGGACAGCCAGGGCTACACAGAAACCCTGTGTCAAAAAACTAAATAAATAAATAAAGCCGGGCTGGGCGTTGGTGGCACACACCTTTAATTCCAGCACTAGGAACTCACTCTGAGTCCGAGGCCAGCCTGGTCTACAGAGCTAGTTCCAGGACAGTTTCCCAAAACAATACAAAGAAACCCTGTCTTGGAAAACAAAGACAAACAAACAAACAATAACTAAATAAATAAAAAGATGTCACCTCTCCATGACCCAAAGATCTCTTACACTACTAGCAGCATGCCCACCCACCCTTTGGAGGCTTCTGCTGTAAGACAGTCTTTAGGTGCCTGAGGAGAGAATCGATGCCTCTACGGGGACCTCAGAGTGGAGAGGGAGGTGTGTTCCTGGCAGGGCAGAGGCTGTAGCAAGGGGAACAGCAGAGCAAAGTGGGGGTGTGTCTTAGGACCCTGAAGACACCCTTCTAGGCAGGCCTACTCCAGGAGTACTCTGTGAGGCCCCCACACCTTGGCTGAACATCAATAGCAAACTGTTACCCGCCCTTCCCTAGGCACAAGCTTTCCTAAAATGTTTGATGCTGCCTCACTGAGTTTTTGTCTAGCATGAGATACTATTATTGGCTTTCCAGATGAGGACACGACTTGTTGAAGATCACAAGATTTCAATGGTAGAGCTGCAGTTGTCCCCAAGTGTGCCAACAGATGCTTTTCAGTAGACTCCAAACGTGTAGAGCTGTCACAACCAAGCAAGTCAGGATTTCTGGTGCCCCAGAGTCTTGCTGGTGAGAGAGCCAATGTCTGAACCCAGAAAGAGTTGGCTCTCTCAACAAGCTTACAGACTTCACTCTGACAAAAGGGATCCAGGGGTGAATTAGACTAGCGGGTATCTATCTGCCTTAAGAGCCAGCTCTGCACTTCCTCCAGCGTCTCAGAGCAGCCCTCCCACACCCCTCTATTTTCCCTGGATGACCAGACTGTTGCTAGGGATCAGTCCTGGAGAGAGGAGAGACAGGATACCCTGTCAACTCTTGCCAGTCTAGGCAGGGCAGGAATCTAGGGGACAGCTCCTCCCAGTCCCCAGGGCAGGGCCGGGCCTTGAGCTGACTCAGCTAGGCTGTGTCTGCACTGGGCTGGGGTTTCGGGGGGCAGACAGCACACACTTAGCCAGTTGGCTGTCCTGCGTTCTGGAGTGTTCCCTGAGGTGTGCACAGGCATGATAACTCCTCTTCCTTGCTGTTCTTGGGGTTGAGGAGGGAAGCAACCAGCGCTGGGGATTCTGGGATGGATGGCAATGGATTTGCCAGCCTTACCTACCTATCAGTAATAGTGCTAGCTCCCTGGGCCTCAGCGTTTTCTGTTCGGTGGGTTTGGTATCGAGACTGCTTAGATGAGTGGTCTCAACCTTCCTAATGCTGCCACCCTTTAATACAGTTCCTTATGTTATGGTGACCCCCAGTCCTCAAATTATTTCGTTGCTACTTCATAACTGTAGTTTTGCTGCTGTTATGAATCATAATGTAAATATCTGATATTCAACCCTCAAAGGGGTTGAGAACCATTGGTTTAGAGGGACTGCCTGAGGTCAAGTATATGGCAACCTTTGCAAACACAAAAGGGAACTGGCCTGGCACACACCATTAAGCCCAGCACTCTGGGAGGCAGAGGAAGGCGGATCTCTAAATTTGAGGCCAGCCTGGTCTACTCTACAAAGCGACTTCCAGGACAGCCAGAGCTGCTACACAGAGAAACCTTGTCTCGAAAAACAAACAAACAAGGACACTGCTTCAGTGAGGAGATAAGTAGCCGCAAGAGACTACTAAAGTCTAAAGTAGTTGCTGCCCAGCCTTTCCAGAAAGTTCTCCAGCAGTTTCTAAATCACAGTTTGTTACGCTCAAGTCACTGCAGCTTTTTGTTGATTTTGTTGAGACGGGCCCTGCTGTGTTGCCCAGGGTGGCCCTGGACTCCTGGACTCCATTGATCAGCCTCCTCATAGCTGGGACCACAAGTGCCTGTGTCACTGTGTCTGGCTCATTCCCACTCTGAACTTTGCCTGTCCCTGCCTATTTCATTTCCTTGTCCTCAGGTGGCTGTACTCCAAAGGAAATAGGTATGAAAAGGCCGCCCCGAGATTTGAGGTTTCAAAGGGGTGGGGCATTCCAGGTCTAAAGGCTCCTGAAACTGTGGCATCTGCCTGGTTTTCAGTGCTGGGGGAGAGGTGGTGGATGAAGGGGGTGGAAATCAGAAACCCATGTCCAGGTATGTGAAGGAATTGAGCCTGCCTGGCATGGGACTACAGCCACGTCCCAAGTCCTGGTCTGTTTGCACAAGGGTAGGCTGGGTTCGGATAAAATGCAAACAGGCACAGGTGGTGATGGGTAGATTTTTCTGGACCGTGTATCTGGCGATTATAGCCCTACTTACTGCATGCAGTCACGATCCTAATTAAGCCTTCTGCCTCCCAAACAAGAGCTTCAAAGGATGTGCGATTGTCTTTTAAGTCCTTGAGAAAACAGATTTGAATCTTCACAGATCTTTGTAGTCTCTTTTGATAAGAGACCGGGCTGCAAAAACCTGCTGCCTGAGTAGCCATGACCAGGCTGCCCAGCTTGCTTTTGCTACACTACTTGGTGCTTCCTTACGGGCTGCTGGGCTTCCTCATCCCAACAAGCGGAAGCTGGGGACTCCTGCCCAGTTCTACCAAATGAGCCAGGCCTGCCCTGGACAGCCACTCCAAACACTCATCGGATGCTGAGTCCTCAGCCCCAGGAGCTGGCTAGCATTCCCTACAGTCCCTTCTTCCCAGGTTCTTTATGCCAGAAGCTCTGAGAATTCTTGGGATTTCCTTCCCCTGCTGAAGTGGAGACTCCTGCAGGGCATACAGCAGACTGAAAATAAGTGTGATAGCTGTGGCCAGCTCCTTATCGGCATTCCCTATGATGGCTGCCAGTTCTGGCACCCTTCTTCCTGAGGCTCTCCCAGTCCCCAGACACTTTGCATACCAGCTAAAGGGTAGCAAGCCATGACCCTCCCAGAGCTGAGCGCCTATGTCCAGTCACGGCTGGACTGTCACTGGCTTGTAGAAAGCTGACTTGTGCTTTGCCGTGATGTGAAGGAGACTTGTTTACACCCCTGCCTGTCACCTAGAGTAAACACAGCCTGGAGATGCACTGTTAGAGATGGGATGTTGCTTCCTGGTTGAGCACATGCTTGCACATACACCCCCGCCCCACCACACACACATGTGCACTCTTCCTCTCTCTCACCCTCACCGTGGGCCCATTATGTAAGTACCTCTTTTTGCTGTAGCTAACTCCAGGCAGGAAGTGGGCCCCTCCTTGACCCTGCAGACAGCTACAGCTCCTAAGTTAATAATGGTCATAGAGGATTTTTTTTCTTTCTTCTAAGATGTCAGCGATAGGACCCCAAGCCTGACTCATGTTAGGCAAGTGCTCTACGGTGGAATATACCCCTAACCTGAGTAATAGCTTCATTATCGGTCCCGGGCACCAGAGCCTGTAAAACATCTGTTCTATCAAGTCCTTGGTGCTGGGGGGTGGGGGCTGAGCGCATATTTGACAAGTTTGGGATGGGAGAGGTTCAGAGTTTCTAGCAAGTTCCAGGAGGGATCAGCGGCTGCTCCGGGCTGAGACTCAAACCTTCCCTAGAGAGTAAAGGGTTACCTTTGCTGAATCAGCGCTCTTCCTTTAGTCCCCATGCTAGACTGGTGTCCTTTGAGCTACTCCCCATTTCTGTCCCGCCTCTGCTCTGTGCTCACCTGCCCTGCCTCCCTTCCACCCAAATGAAACTTCAGCGTCCCCTCTGCCCTTGGACAAAGACCTCTCTCTGGTGCTTAGGTCAGGCCTGCTAGGGCTTGCTGGGACAAACTGGCCTTTTCAGGTTCCTGTCATGTGAACCTGCTAATTAGCAAGGAAGGGCCTCATTAATGTCATTTGTGGGCTACATTCACATAGCCACCCCTTGTGGCTGCCCTGAAAAACAGGTGATCCTCTGGTGGTGGAGACTGGAAGCCCCAACCTTCCCACCTCACTGTAAGTGCCCCCACTCCATGTGTGCCATGTGGTAGAAATGAGGGGTATGTTTGGGGGCTCCAGGTTACTCGGGGTCAAAGCTACAAGTCCCCTAAGCGACAATCCCACTCTTCCTAAGCCCCTGAAATCCAGTAGATCTGTGGCCAGTACTCTGGAGGTCACCGGGAGCTCCCGGATTCACTGCCATGAGCTTGGAATGTGTCCTACAATGCCGGAGTCATCCTCACTTTACAGGTGAGGGACCTGAGCCTGAGAAAGTGCCAGAAGTTCATAGTATTGTCTAGAGGAACCAAGCTGCGAACCTGGGAAGACCTAGGTCCTTTCGCCTCCCTGTGGACTACACTGACTACTGGAGGACCTCAAACTCTGCATGCATAGTCTCCTGCTACGCTGGCTGTGACCGGAGCGGGCAGATTCTAGAGGCATCTTGCTTGCTGGCCCCTGAGTATTGGCCCCTCTTGCTCACCAACTGTGGTACTGTGAGCATATAACCTCTTCCAGCTTCGGGGGAGGGTGGGAGGGGGTTGGGGGTGGGGGGCTGGGACACAGAAGTTGGCTCAGTGGGGAAAGGTGCTAGTGTATTATATAAAGCACTGGCTCACATATGCAGAAGAACATGCACACACTAACACATTCTAACATGTTTTTTAGAAAGTATTTCCCATACAGGGTATGTGAGAGCTAAGAGGAGGATGAGAGCCTGGGTGTGGTGCCCCATGGCTCTGGGTTCAGCTCAGTGGTAGGCAGAGTGGTTTCCTAGCAGACAAAGGCTCAGGTTCGGATGCCTATAGTGCAAGATAAAGAACACCGCCTACACCAGGCAGGGCAGCTCGGGCCAGTGAGTTCTGGGCCAGCCTGGGCTAGAGTAAGAACTTGCCTAAAGAAAAGAAGTACCTAGGTCATAGTATATGCTTAGCATATATTACATATCAGTAGCTTAATGTGTGTTAGTCATTTGTTTATTTATTTACTTATTTATTGATCAGTTTTCTTGCTACTTTGGGACAGATTAGGACTTAGAGACTATGAGCTACGTCACTGCCCCCAGAATATCTCTATGCCAATAGCCCTGGAGATCCATCGCCAGATTTGGGTCTGGGGTACAAAAAACAGTTTACTAAGAGGCTTTCAGCCTGTGTTCTGTGGGAAGATATTCAGCAGATCCCTGGGCTCCTCCTCTTGGGCAGAAGGGTAGGAAAAAAGGACTCAGAGTCTAAGCAGCTTGTGGTGACTCTTCAGCTTCCCCAGGTAACACGTATACACAGAGGCACATGCGTGCCCCACCCCAGGCCCGAGAACCAGACATGCCTGTTAGGGAGGCATCGAGCCCCAGGCCGAGAGAGACACCACATGGCTTGTGCTGGAGGCTTGTCTGAGACCCTGTAAACGCTGATACCTTTTGGCCTTGGTCCAGTCCCTGGTGTTGTGGGCCTCAACGTATCCATGTGTCTGCAGCCCTGAGCATCGGAGCGCACAGTGAACCCTGCCAAGTTAGCAAGAGGCCACCTCCCTTCTGATGAGCCTTACCCATGGTCACAGGTGCTGCGTGTGACCGACTCATCACCCTAGCGGGAGAAAAGGAGATGGGGAACCGGTGATGAGGGTGGTGATGCTGATTGTGCTCCTGATTTCTTGCTCTGTAGACCAGACTAGCCTTGAACTCAGAGATCCGCCTGCCTCTGCCTCCCTAGTGCTGGGATCAAAGGTGTGCACCACCAATGCCCAGCCTATTTGGGCTTTCTTTTAAACTTACATTTGATTTAGTGGAGTGTGTGTGAGAGAGAGTGTATGTGTGAGTGTGAGTGTGTGAAAGTGTGAGTGTGCATGTGAGTGTGTGTATGAGTGTGTGAGTGAATGTGAGCATCCTCAGTGCCTTTGTGTGAAGCAAAGGACAGTTGCAGGAGTCACCTCTCTCTCCTTCCCTGTGGGTCCCAGTGATCAAACTCAGCGAGGGCCTTTACCCGCTGCACTGTGTGTGTGTGTGTGTGTGTGTGTGTGTGTGTGTGTGTGTGTGTGTGTGTGTCCCGGCCTTTGGTCTGTCTGTGGTTCAGTTAAGACCCACGCCTTGCTCACAAGGTCCCCTCGTGTGTTCCCGACTTGGTGATTGCAGAGTTCAGGTTCTCCACGAGGAAACTCCACGAGGGTGGGCTCCTGGCATTCTACTGAGTTCTGGTCCTTGACCTCCGGTCTGGGCCTTATGCCCTGGAGGAGGGCGGGAGCAGCCTGCCGGCCTAGCCACTGCCCCTTTCCTATCAGCGCTAACCTTTTTTCTTTTAGAATTATTTTTGCTGGGCATGGTGGCGCACACATTTAATACCAGCATTTAGAAGGCAGAGGCAGCTGGGTCTCTGTGAGTTCCAGGTCAGGGTTATATAAGGAGTCTCTTTCTCTTTCTCACACTGGGTGTGTGTGTTCACACGTGCTTGTGCGTGTGTCCACGCAGGAGTGCATGCAATCACATATGTACATACGTGTGGGCCCTGGGGATCCAATTTAGGTCGTGAGCTTTAGCAGTAGGCAGTTTTGCCCACTAAGCCATCTCACCAGCCCAGATTTTTGTTTTGTTTCTGAGCAAGGTCTCACTGTAGCCCAGGCTAGCCCAGAAGTCACTGTGTAGTCTATATTCAATTTAAGCTCATAGCATTTCTCTTTTTTCAGTCTCTGTGAGATGGTGAGGACAGAGTGTTCCTCTTGGGGACATGTGAGGGTTGGCTCTGGCCATCTGTGACTTTCTGCTTCTTGGCTGCATCCCGACCGGAGCCTGGTAACCCAGACTTGGGATCGTGTCCGCTTGCAATGCTCCAGGCAGCACTGGGAACTATGTCCCGCAACAATGCTGCACACAGAGGTGCCTGTTATTTGGGCACCTTTGGGGAGGTGCAGAGTCTAGAATGTGCTCTGCCCCCTCCCACTGCTGCATACCCTTGTCATCAAGACCCTCCCTGGCTAGCCTAGTCTCTCTTAATGTTACATTAAAAAAAACATGTATGTGTTGGGCCTGGCAAGGTGGCTCAGTGGTTAAGAGCACTGACTGTTCTTCCAGAGGACCTGAGTTCAATTCCCAGCACCCATATGGCAGCTCCCGACTGTCCCAGTTCCAGGGGACCCAACACCCTCTCAGAGACACACATGCAGAAAAAAACACTAATGCACATAAAGTTATTTAAAAAGTATTTATGTGGTGTGTGTGAACGTGCATATGTGTGTACTCACAAGAGCCAGATCATGTGCATAGAGATTAGAGGAGAGTTTGCAATAGTCCGTCCTCTCCCTCCACTGTGTGGGCCCCAGGGATTGAACTCAGGTCAGCAGGCTTGGGAAGCAATACCCTTGACCTGGTGAGCCGACTCACCGGCCAGCCTAGCTCTGTCTCTTTTGAATAAACTATTGGGTTTTCTTGCCGTTTCCTCCTAAAATGTGGGAGGAGAAAAGCAATCCCTGTGTTCTTACGTAACAGGCAGCAGGATTTTGGTTAATTGGGATTTATTTGTTTTGGACTGGGTATCAGTATGTAGATTTGGCTGTCCTAGAACTCTGCCCGCCTCTGCCTCCTGAGTACTGGGATTAAAGGCGTGAGCCATTACACCAGACTTTATTTAATTGGGATTCTGACCTCTTTCCTCTTTGGGCAGAGAGGAGAAGGTTCCTCATTCCCTCCAGTCTGTTCAGTAGGACATTCGTGCTTATGACCCATAAAGCAGGAGGCCTTAGATGTGACATGACAGTAGGAAGCTGGGAGGAAATGCTGAATTCTTATCAACGATGTCAAAGGTCATAAGGAGGACTGGTTGAGAACAGGAACATAGCTTTTCACAGATCGTGGCTGTAGATACAGCCCAGAGCAGGGTCTGGAGGAACAGGCGCGTCCATCGTGTGTCATCTTCCCTTGGGGGAGGGAGCCACATTTGTTCAGTCCGTCTATATACTGACCACATCTGCACCTCACAGCTGTTGTATAGGTACCATCACTTCCATTGTACAGATGGGAAAACTGAGGCCCAGGGAGGTTAAACAAGTCCAGCCAGTGGCAGAGCTGGGCTTTTTTTTTTTTGTTTTTTGTTGTTTTTTTTTTAACCCTTGAAACAAGCACAGGATCACACTAGCAGTGGTTTGGGGTCAAGGAGCACCTGACCTAGAGGGGTACAAGAGGGGGTTTGTTGGCCACAGGGGGCAGTAGATAGGGTCCTCTGATGCTTGTTCTCGATTAGAAATGCAAACATTTGAGAGAAGCAGACTTGTTTCTTTTGTGATAAGCCCAGGCCTTGGCCTAGCTCTCAGGGCAGGTGCTGTGTGAATGTGAAGGGCTAGAAGGGTCCGGAGAGCGGAGGCTGCTGTGGGTCAAATGCCCCAAGAACACGCCCCAAGTCCCTTCCACAGCAACCTCAGAATTCCCACCAGCCCACCCTCTATCCTTGGGCTCTCACTGTATTATATTAGAGGGGGGTTGCTGGTCACCCCACTGCCCCACTGGAATCTGCAGGTGGCCCGTCACCTTTATCCCTGCTCACTGTCCCCCTCTCTGTCCTTTAGATGGGATCTATTACGGAGACAGTCACTTCAACACTGTGAGCGAATCCGGAACAGCCACCCTGAAAGCCCGGCCAAGAGTCCGGCCCCTGCTGACCTTCCTTCCCTTGGTGAGTGCGCTCAGCGCCCAGGCCTGAGCTCCCGAGTCCGCTCTGGGTGGGCACCTCACCTGCCACAGATGTCAGCCTCACCCAGTCAACTGGCTTCCTTCCTGATGCCAACCCAGGGAGGCTGCTGGGAGGAGGCAGGGTTGAGACTTAGGAAGCCTGGGACTAGGGAGGGGTACCCAGTGATGGCTGCCAACTCTGAACAGCAGGGTGGCTGTTGGCTTCCTGCTAGACCCTGGCCGCTACTGCTACCTTCTGTAGGAGCATCTCTGTAGGAGATGCCGCCACCTGTTAGAATGGCAGCCAGAGGCTGCCAGTGTATTTACAGTGGATAGTCAAGAAGGGCCTCATGGAAGAGACGCATCTGAACCCCTCATCAGACAGACACACAGCGACGCTTGGGAGAAAGGCATTTGAGAGATTTGTTTGTATGTATGAAACTACAGGAAACCAAAAACTCATCTTTTGTTCCAAGACAGGATCTTGCTAGGCCTGGCTATCCAGAAACTCGCTATTTAGGTCTTTAATGGCTTTCCTGACTCTGTCTCCCAAGTGCTGGAATTACAATTTGCCCAGCAAAACAAATACATGTGTATATGTATATGTACATGTATATATAATCATATATATATATATGTATGTATGTATGTATGTATGTATTTTTATTTGTATGGCTGTTTTGCCTTTATGTATGTCTGCAAATCCAGAGGCTAGAAGAGCTTGTCAGAATCCCTAGAGGTGGAGTTACAGACACTTGTGAATGGCCATGTGGATGCTGGGGATCAACCTGGGATCTCTGGGAGAGCCGTGAGCCATCTCTCCAGGCCCCAAACAAATAGCTGAAAGGGATTTTGCTCTTTGAGTGAAAGGGAAAAAAAAAAAAAAAAAAAACCCTCAAAGACCTACTCGGGAGTGCCGGCAAGGTGGTTCAGTAGGCAAAGGTGCTTAAACTTAAGGTTGAGTCCCCGGAGCCCACATAGTGAAAGAGGAGGAGGAACCAACTCATTCCTTCAAGCTTCCCCCTGACCGCCACACTCAGGTTGCTTCACATGCTGCCTCTCCCTCACACAAAACAAGTGAACGGAAAAAGAAGCTCGGGATAAACGGTTCTGCTTGGTTCCAGGACAGTTGCTGGGTCCTCTAGAGCTTTCAGCCAAAACAATGCAAGTCTCCTGCAGGATTTTAAATTTTCTAGGATCGCTATTAAAAAGTAAAAAGAAAACGCCACATGGCTGTAATCCCTGCACTTGCTAGAGGCAGGAGGATCAGTTCAGTGACAGCCTGGGCTCCAGGGGACCCTGTCTCAAAGGCCCAAGAACACTAAAGAAAACTAAACAGAATAAATGGCCATGGGCTCATTTCCCATCGATATGGAAACCCCTTAACTCCAACATTTGGGACATGGAACCAGGTCATCCTTGGCTACATAGTAAGCAGAGGCAAACCTCGGCTACATAAGACCTTGTCTCAAGTCACAACCAACAAATAAACAGTCAGATTCTAGTTTTCTGTTAAAAGTGATCTCTGAGGCGGGGGCTATGGTTCAGTTGGCAAAATGCTTAACATGAGGCCCTGAATTCAATCCCCAGCATTAAGGAAAACAAACAAACAAAAAAAAGCCACACAAACAAACCACATCTGAGCCCACCTGTGATCACTGTACTTGGGAAGAAGAGGAGGAAAGCTCAGGAGTTAAAGGTCATCCTTAACTATATACTGAGTTTGAGCTGGACTACATGAGAACAACAAAAGAAGCCCATGGAAAGACACAGAATTGTCACTGCAAACAATAGGAAAAAAACAAAAAACCAACAACAAAATAACAGAGCTAGTTCCAGAGCTGCCAGGACTACACAGTGAGATCTGATCTCAAAACGGACAAACCGACCCACCAAAATTAATGCTAAAAGCCCGGCAGTGGTGGCGCACACCTTTATTCCCAGCACTCGGGAGGCAGAGGCAGAGGCAGGTGGATCTCTGTGAGTTCAGGGCCGGCCTGGTCTACAGAGTGAGTTCCAGGATAGATTTCAAAGTTACATAGAGAAACCCTGTCTCAAAACACCAAAAAAGAAAGAAAACCCAAAGGGAAAAAAACAAAACAACCAAAACCCTAGTCACATCACTCCCCGAGATGTGCACAGCTGTGTGTAAGGGCTGCTGCAGCCGCAGATGATGTGAGTTCCATTCCCTCCCGTCACTGACCCATCGCGCACACTGGGGATGGCGGTGTGGGACATTACTGTCATACCTGCCCCTGGACTGGCCCTTCAGTCATGACTGGCTCCTGTTGTCCTGACCTCTCCCGATCACTTCAAGGCTACAGGGTCTCCTACATCTTCCCCCACCTACTCTGGGCCTTTCAGGACAGGTCCCAGCATGGAGGGTGGCTCAGGCCTAGGGTACTAGGGCCTCCTGGAGACTTGCCCCAGGGCATTCTTTCTAGACAAAGCAGGAAGGCCCCACTACAGAGAATGGGAGAGAAATCACATGTCAAACCAACAGCTGAAGCTCAATTAGGTCCATGGAGACATCATTTACAGAGCAGGGACCAAACCCAGAAGGGGACATTTGCCACATTCCTTCAGTGCCGGTCAAGGTGGAGCTGCCTGACCCACCCACTCTGAACGCCATTCCAGAGATCATACACGTGAACAGAGGCACCCCCTTCCAAAGCGCTCCCCACAAGCCCCCATTTTACAGCCCAGAGACTAGCCCTGAGTCAGGATATGGCTTGCTTACGGTCCTGCAAAGCCCATGCCCAACCCCCCACAGCCAATGCCCCTCAGACTACGCGAACCGTCCTCCATGCTGGCAGCTCTTGCCTTCCCCTTCCAGGACCCCAAACTTCACTCCCATCCTCCTGGCTTGACCCCCTCAATCCCTGTCCTGTGGCCTCATGGCTCTTGGATGCTTCGAGGTCTTGGAGAAATGGCTTCACAGGGTCTAGAGCAGGTCTTAGTTGAGGATTCTCGGGGTCCCACTGAAGCCTGTCTCTGGTGAGCTTTAAATTCAGACCCCTTGGCCTAATTTAATTGCAGCTCTGATCCTGCTTCAGGTTACGGGTGTGGAGTCGCTTTGAGCATCATCGCTCGCCACCTGCTCAGGGAGAAGGGCCTTGAGCAGCTCATTTTCTCCTATCTGATCTCAGACCCCCTTCCATAGCTCTGGGCTTTCTTCCAGTGTCCCAGGTGTGTGTGGGCTCACACACATGTACAGACACTGGTCCCCAGCCCCATGTCAGTGTGGGAGGGGCCTGGACCAGTGCCTGGCCCCTTCTGCCTGACATTATATTAAACCTCCCACCTGCAGAAGGCACCGCCCAGGCCAAGAGGCCAGAAAACAGGTGACAGGTCCAGCAAGGGTCTTTGAGCTCTGCCTGGGCCATCTTCCAAATGTCCCCTCATATTCAGTCCTTTCAAGAGCCAGCCAGGGCATGTGCTCAAAAAGAGGTTGTCCTCAGATGGCCTGACTCTAAGAGATTCTTTCTCAAGTGTCCATAACTAAAGGCCAAACATGAAATGAACCCTTGGGTTCCTTACTGACCAAGTTGGGCCCTGGGATTGGCCATCGGGTACCTGTCCCTCGCCCCAGGCCTGCCTTGGGTTATAGAGTGACAGAGAGCAAGGCTCTTATTCTCTCCAGGCCTCTGGTTCCTTGCCCTTTGGTAGGATCACTGGGAATGGTCCTAGAGGTGTCCCCAACTGTAACTTTCTAGGCTAAGTGACTCTAATGGCACAAGAGGGGGCATGGTAAGCTTACACAAGCTCAGGTTGCTTCCTGGAGATGAACCTTCCTGGAGGAGGCCTGCTTTCTAGCCACCAGGTCCACCCACCTCTGTCCTGGGGGCTTGGAGGAGCTGGTTTAGAGCACCAAAAGTAGGTGGGACCTCAGCTGCCACCAGGATGAGACCGTACCGCCGGCATGGTGGTGTGTGGCTGAGGTCCCAGCTACTCGGGAGCCGAGGGAGGAGATCAGTCTGAGCTACAGGTAGCAGAACCTTGTTTCAAAATAAAGATAAATAAGAACCGGGGTGTGGCTCGGTAACAGAACACTTGTCTAACGTGTGCAGTACGCTGGGTTCTCTCCCTGGTGTGGGGTGGGAAATATAAGAACACAAAGATCTGGGCCTGTGAGAGAACTCAGTGCATCAGGCTCTGGCTGCCAGGCCTGATGGATGGCTTGAGTTGGATCCCTGAAACTCACATGGTAGAAGGAGGCAGACGACCTTTCAGAGTCGTCCCCTGACCTCAGTCATTTGTGTGACATGGCACTGGCACACAAAATGAATGAACGGGATAATAATGTGATAACAACAATAAAAAGAATGTTAGACCCAAGTAAGGGAAGGCCTGCCTTGGACAAGAGCGACAGGGGCCAGGCTTGGTGGCCCAGGCTTTTCACCCCCCCCCAACCCTTGAGGCGGGACAGCCGGGGATCCACAGAGAGACCCAGGGTCAAACACAGCTGGGCCTTTGGGTCTCTGCCACAGGCTCAAGGCAGAGCCAGCCCTATGCTTTCAAGAGCTAACCTGAGCTAACCTGAGTAGGAAGATTGTACTTTCCTCTGGGTTGACCTCCCTACCCCATCTGATCCGGTCATCCCCAGGCTGATGCTTATGGGAAATTAGAAATTAAATGCCCATGTGGTAAATATGGGCAAACTGGCTGGACAGGTCTAGGGGTGCCCAGGGCAGTGAGAGCTCCCCGGGTTGCCCTACCCTCTGAGTCACACAAGCCTGGCCTTGCCAAGAGGAGGCATCCCTGAGCTGCAGGAGAGACCTGTCTTCTCCGGGGCCCCCTCCCTCCAGTCCTTGGTCACCTGAGAACTCAAAGAAACAGGTGGAGGCAGTCCAGCCATTTTGGGAGCTCATTCCTAAATTCGAGGCCCAGAAAAGGCAGTGTGGGCTGACTGACTCACGTAGGTGATGTTGAATGGAAAGGTTATGGGGTAAGAGGTGTCAGAGGCCGGCAGTGAGAGGAAAGTTGGAGCTTATGCCCCTTCCC